GGCCCAAAAAGCAAAACAACAACAGCAACAACAACAGTGGCAACAGCAACAGCAAATAAACAAAATCAACTTCTCAAGCAGTTTTCTGCTGCTTCTTAGAGTTTTCTTCTTCTTTTTTTTTCGCTCGACACTCGGGCTTGGCCACTTGACGTCGCATGCTGCAACAGCACACATGCCACATGCAGTGGCAGTGCCAGTTGCTGCTGCTGCTGCTGCTGCAGTTGCAGTTGCCCATGGGAGAGTTGTGAAAGAGATCTCGTTTGGCCTGGCACTCCAGCTGCTGACTCCGGCTCTGACTTGCGTGTTGCGAGTGCCACAGGCCACTCGAGTGGCTTTTAATGAGCTGTTTGCATATGCAGTTTATTAATGTGTTGAAAATACTCCACAACAACAGCAGCAGCCACAACAACAACAACATCAGCCACAGCTAGAGTTGCTGCTGGCGTGCCAGCTAAAAGTTTGTCTAAACTTTGCATTTGCTTAGCGCTATAAATAATTGAGTAAATCTTCTCCAGTGGCAGCAACTGCAATGCGAGTGCCTCATTAGAGGGATATAAAAGGGAAGTGTGTGTGTGCAGCATCGATACCTGCCCAAAAGAGATGTGAGATGTAACAGAGAAGTATTTATCTGTGTAATATCTATATTATATACAGATGTAGTATATTTAGTTCCTTCTATATTAATACTCTTTCCCTTGCTTTGCCAATTCATCAATACGCACACCCTCACCCAGACATACATATACATAACTATAATGGAACGGTATTTGTCCAAAAATAACTTCCTCTCGCTCTGCTGACTAAGTGTCCGAGTTATCTCTGACCGCCCAAATCTAATCATTGAAATCGACCAGCAAAAAAAAAAAAGAGATAGAGAAAGAAAAAAAAACATCGAAAATCAACTATAAAAAAAATAAAGAAAATGGGCCAGAGAGAAACATGTTTGATTGGTGGTCAATGCCAGACGCTGAGATACTCTGTATTTCGATTTCCGACGTTACGTCTACTGCTAGCTCCTACTGAAATCTCTGGAATTGTGTATACCCCATGTCTGTGGCTCGTTTCTTAATGGGTATCCAGCATTGTGGTTCATTATTTACCAAGATTTTGAGCAGCGTGCGAAATCCCCAAACCGAATTGCCGTATCCAGTTGCTGGCTACGCTCTCCCCCACCCTCCCCCTCTCTCACGTCTCTCTTTCTCTCTGTGCGCTGCCCCCTGCTGTCCCCTGGATGACATCATCAGCGTTAAAAGAGGCAACGATCCGCGGTGGCCATTGGATGCTTCAGTTGATTTTGGTTTTTCGGTTTTCGGTCGAATTTCTGAGGTTTCGGCTTGATTGCGTTGGCTTCCACTCTTTGCTTGGCTTCTCAATTGTTGCCGCCGCTGCCGTCGGTCATTCGCTTCATGTGCGGGTCAACAAATGAGAGACGCTCGCCCCATCTACTGGAGCAGTTGTTGGTCATAGCTACGCCAGAACTGCTAATGGCACATAAAATACGTGAGTCAGAAATCAATTTCGATGGCCGCTGGCTCGGCTCCAGCTCCGCAGCGCGATGCGGCTTAAATGCTCGCTTTTGTTTAAGAAATATTTTAAAATATGTACCAAGCCCCAAAAATTAAATGCGCACACATTCACCCACACCCTTCACACCCCGCACACACATCACACACATGGCTGTGCCATAAATCCTCGAAAACAAGCGAATGCAAATTGATTTGTTGCTCTCCCTGAATCAAATGAAATGAAATGCAACGGCTGCTTGTGCCACACAGCGCATGGCAACGAGGGGCAACGCGGCACAGTCACAAAGTCAGGAGCGGATTTGTGAACCAAGGGCTCATAGACCTTAAAGAAACTGAGCTTAGATTAATCTTTAATAAAGTTTTCCACAAAAAGCTAAAGTTCATATTACATTATTATTATAAGAGTTTAATTTACAGTGATTTATAATTAATAATAACAATGAATGTGTAAGTAAAATGAACTACGTTAGTTTCTCTCACTGGCTTTTCTCATTAGCTTCCCTCATTAGCTATTCTCATTGTCATCTCTAATTCGCTTTTTTCGCCTAGTCCATCCTCAGCTCGTGCCTCTGGTTAGGCCTGGGGCCCTCTCGGCTGCTAGTCCGCTCCTGTGCGATGCCAATACCAATTCGTTTACCCAATACCAAATCCAATGTCCAACGTCAACAGCAATAATAATAACAGCAGTCGCAATCGAATGGCAGCTCCCCTCTGCACGGCCCAGCTCCAGGCCAGGCGCAGCTCCCCACTTCTCCTGAATGTATATAAATAAATTTTAATTTGCCAATTGTGTGTAAAACTTATTAGCGATAAGTTTTGTCGCAGTCGCAGTCGCAGCCACAAGCTGTAACACAGCTACAGCTTTAGCTACAGCTACAGCTACATTTGTATCTGCATATGGGCAAGAGCTTTCGGGCTGATTATTTTGCATAATGTCGAGCCCGTATCGAGTTGAGTGAGGAAATGAAATACGTGTATCCGTGCCTGGATTCTGTTCGTAAGCTGGCATTTGGTTATTAGTCATAAAGCTCCAATGGATCGGGCATAAGTTAATGATAAATGTCTGTATATACAATGTATATACATATATTTGTGTGTGTGTGTGTGTTGGTTCGTTTGTCAGGGTTCGACCAATCAAGTTGGCAGTCAGGTCAAAGCTGACAGCCAGGAAGTTGACATAGTTGAGCAAATAAAGCTATCAATTATTATAATTGTCATTGTCATTGCATTGGTATTATTGTGAGTAAGACTGTATGGGAAGAAGTTGACATCAGTATTAGTATTGGTAGGAGTATTGGTGTTAGTACAAGAGCAAGCATTGATATGAGTATTTTTGTTAGGCATTATCATTGGTATTCATATTGGTATAAGTATTATAAATAGAATTACTATTAGTATTAGAAATATTATTGCTATGAGTATTCATTTGATACTAGTATTAATATAATTATTAGATTAAACATTAGCATAGGAATTTGACTTGAGCATCAGTGTCAGCATGGGCATTAGCATTAGTATTAGTTGTAGTTCAGTAGTATTCTACTTTCTATATTTCCATATTCCGCTAGCGAATGCTCCGCTCCCAATTAGTGTTCGAGCAAGTGATTAGCGCTCATTATTAGGTCTGAGTGGCACAAATGTTTGGGTAATCGATGCATTGTTGCTCAAATGCCCCTATTCCATTGTTCCACTTATGTGGCTGCTCATGTTCCACTGCTCCATATTGCTTCAGCTTCCTCGCTAATCTTCTTCGTGAAGAGCTGTTGAGCTAGATATTAGTAGTCACAGACCTGTGCAGATGCTCCAAATGGCAGAGACCATTAAAGCCCAATTCTAATGCGAGTAATTAGCCAGACAGACTCGCACACACACACACACACACACACAGACAGGTGTACTTGTAGTTGATATCTGGAATCTCAGCATCGGGCACTCCAGCTGGCATTTATGCTTGCACAGTTTCACGTGTGTGTGGCGCTGCACTCGGGCGACGACGCGTCGCTCTTTTTGGCTCTTCGCATTTTATTTAATATTTTAATTAAATTATTTCAGTGCCCGCTTCTAATGGGCGCTCGACTTTCTAGGCATTTGCATGCAAATGTGGTCCAACTCAAGGCTATTCCGTGTCTCTCCTTCTCGCTCACTCGCTTGCTCACTCGCTCCCTCTCGCTTTCATATATGTATGCATGCCGTGACTTGTAGATCGAGCTGTTGCCATTACCACCCGCACTTAACGTTAATTAAACTGCTGTGTGTGCTAAAATGTGTCTCTGTTTCATGTGTTTCATGTGTTGTGTGTGTGTGTGTCCTTTGTAGACAGCCTGGCTGCCTCTCAGCCTGTCCGCCTTGCCGCCTGCCGCTTGGCAGCTGCTGTCGTTTTAATAGCTTAATGTAGTTACTTCCACTTTGAGTGTCTTCCCTTTGCCTTTGCTGCATCGCAACGGAACGGAACTGAACGGGCCGGGCCGGGCCGAGCCAAACCAAACCAAGCCGAGCCGAGCCAAGAGGCGTCGACCGTCTTTACTAATAAAAAACACAACACTCAGCAAAATTGTTATGCAGCAAACTAAATCAACACACACATACACACACACATCTACATAGACGCTCACCCCTCCTACACTGCACAAATTACAAAGCAGCCATGACGACTATAACTAGCAGGAAAAAAGCCATGTAAGCCGCACTTACACACAACTGGGTCTCCCGTTAGCATGTGCACTCGAATGCGTTTTTCCACACACACACACAGGAGCTATAGCAGACAGAGTGAGAGTGGGTGAGCGAGGTACAGAAAGTGAGAAAAAAATGGTGATATCTAACAAGGTTCTGTTGAGCTTAGACTATGGGGTATATTAGTTATATATATAATTCAAAATTTGATATATATATTAATAATTTAATAGATCCTAGGGTATCTTTAAGTAAATAATTTAATTGGATATTGTTAGGTCTTAGGTATTACTAAAATCCATTAGAAATTTATGTATAAAAAAAGCATTACGTTTCTTTGTTATGTTAACTTTTACATGTGGAATGTAACCTTTCTATAACTCCTTTCCAGGGTATCTCTAATTCTGCCAGCTTGTTTGGGTTAGTTTGAGCCTAAAGTATGTTGGCAGTTTTGGCACTAGAGCTGCTCTTTTTTCTGTTTTACATGCGAGAATGCGCTGGCAGCTGCATCTGCCGCAGAGATCAAGGCTGCCCAGCAGCAGGACTACGGATGGTAGATAGAGAGAGGGGGAGAGAAAGTATGGCATGTTGGGATTAGCTTGTAGTGTGTACACATGCCTGAGTAATATCTCTATTTGTGGGAGTTGCATATTTCGAGGGTTTTCCTTTTTTTTTTTTTTTTTGGAGAATTTTTCTTACGTTTGCATAGCTTAATTAGTCGACTACGTGATATCAAGTATACGACCTACGTTTTCACACATATTTACTCATATGCATATCTCTGCCTCTTTCTATTTGCAGCACCCTCCTTCCTTCCTGGATTCCGAATTTTAGTGCAATAGGAAAATGGCCCAACCGCAATTGCTGCAAATCAAATTGTCACGTTTCGATGCCCAGCCCTGGGGATTTCGCCTGCAGGGCGGCGTCGACTTCGCCCAGCCCCTGCTAGTGCAAAAGGTAAGTGCCACGCCCCGATTTTAACCATTAAATTGCTGAACACAAAATTCAATTACACACAGATTTTTACTTAAATCTGCAACTATTGAACAATCCGAATATTTGAGCGCGTGGGAAAAAAGTTCGCTCGGAAAATTGTGGAAAAAAATATTAGTTGGGCAGTTAATTTATTTATGCGTTTAAATGCTGAAATTCGGATTTTCTTTATTTATTTGTTGGTTTTCGTTAAAAATAAATTTGTAGCAATTTGTTTTTTTTTTTTTTTTAATAATTTTTTTTTGGCGCGGGTTTTTTGCGCACGGAACGCCAAAAGTTTTTACCAAACATTTTTTCCAATGAAATTTCCTTTGCAGCCATTTTAGATATTTTATATGCAGACACGCACACATAGAGTATGAGAGAGTGAGAGAGATAGATAGATAGTGTGCGAGTGTGTGTGTGCGCAAATTGTTAAACATTTTTTAATTATTTCTAATAATTTTAACATTTCTAGCGACACTCACACAGATTCAAGAGCTTCTATTTTTTGCACGAATATATTCATATATATGTAGGTATATGTATATATCCGCTTATGTAATATATATCTTAATCTATATTTATATACCTCATACATATTGACATGTGTATACTCTCGGGGGGTCGCTGCTGTGAGCCATGAGACAAAAAATGTGCGCAAAGATCTGAATATGGATAAACGAATATGAGTTATGAGCCGCGGAGATTATGTTTATGGCTTTTGCAATTGGGTCACAGATGGAACATTAAAATTGAAATTACTCCTAGAGATTTTGTAATTTAAATAATTGACAAGCATTTGCGGTCGGACTTGTGTTTTTTATGGCCATTTTATAATCTACTTCAGATAAGGATGGCTTTAAAATAGAGAGAGAGGTAAAAAGAAGACTGAGATAAGAGAGTGGAGAGATATTCTAGAAAGACTAGAGCAAGAGGTGGAGGGAATGAAAAGACGGGAGAGAAAAGAGAGATAGAAGAGTTAGTAGAGAAAAGAAAGAGATGAGATAGAGAAGAGAGAGAGAGGGAGAGAGAGTGGATTCAGAGAGGAGTCACAGAGGGGAGTCATAATTACATCCAAATAAAAATTCAGAATGAGAGCTAAAGGAGTGGCCGTATGTATAGTGGGACATCCGATAGTAGAGCACTTCCATTTAGAGCACTCCACTCATTTTGCTATTCAAATCAAGGCTGGATTCGAGCTACTCGAAAAAGTTAAATTTTTTTTTTCGTTTTATAGGAATTTTGAGCTGTTTTTCAGATTTGATTAGAGTTGAGGCAATCTCACGGCAGTTGAGCTTTGAAGTTGATGTGAATGGGCTTTGATGGCATGTCAATCGAGTGACTGCAATTTGTTTGTGCACTCGTAATAGCATGCACATTCGCATTCGCATTCGCATTCGCAATTGCAAACGCAATCGCACTCAGGCATATTTCCGAGTGGACAGATGAATCACTGCATGGTTTGACACTGACCTCACAAACAAACAATAAATGAAATGGGGCAATCGAAAAATGTTGCGTTCGAGTTAAACTGTGACGAGCTCTGTTCGGTTCGATTGTGTTTATTCCGGGGTGTTCGTGAATCAGCGCTCAGATAAGGGTTCGAATCACATTTATAATAAGGCGTTTCCATAAACAACAGAAGCTCATGTGAAGCTACTGTCAGCTTAATGTCAACATTTCACATTGATAACACTTAAATAGTTGACAAACAAATGAAAGCTTTGAGGGGCATTTGAACTTGTGAACTTGAACTGAACAAGTTCAAGATTCTTTATTTCTATATATTGCATATCAGCTCCTACTACTGCTATGATATGATCAGGCTAATTGGAATTTGGGTTAATAAAGAGAAAAGAGAAAAGAAACAAAATTGACTATATTATAATTGATCTATTGCTAATGTGATTCTCTCTAAAGATTGCCGATGATTATCTCTACCTCTTTCACATACCTAGTATACATCCATATGAACGCTCTCTAATTGGAATTTGAATCAATGAATAAATAGAAAAAGGTGTGCAACTCGCCATGTTTTGTTCTAGTTGAATATCGTTATTGTTCTCATCTCTCTTTCACTCTCTCTCTCTGTCTCTCTCTCGGGCTAGGCAGGCACCGCAACAAAGGCTTTTGGTAATTGTTTAAGCGTGACAACATTTGCCAATGTGTAAATATTTTATTTTATGCCAAACCGAATTTATTTCGTTGACATTTTCAAACGCCACCAAAAAGCAGCAACAGAATGTTCTGTTTACTTTGGCATTACAAATGAGTTCAGCTGCTAATGGCGCAACAGTGGGCGGCAGCGAGAGGGGGAGAGGCAGAGTGAGAGCGGGGGCGTGGCATTGTATAGAAATGCGCAATTTCTATTTAAACAGCTTGTTCTCTGAGTTGATTTATGTCAATGCTATGTCTACACCTCTCTCTCTCTCTCACACACACCTCTCTCTCTCCCTCTCTTTCTCTTTCTTAGTTCTGTGTCTGCAGAAAAAGTTATTTAAAAATAATTCCATTTCCATTGCTCAAGTGCAAGACATTTCTGTGCATATATCAAATGTTTTCTATATACACTTTGAAAATAAAAAACTTTGGCTGTCAACACTTGTTTTTAACAGTGTATTTTTAGCCCATGTACGTATATTAATTGCTCTTTAATTCAATTAATTGGCATAAAACCCGACTCCATTATCAATTGATGCATTAACCTAATGACAATCCATGTTCATATCAATTAGAGTGGACCAAAAACAATGTTTTACAACGACAACAACTACAACATAAACAACATCAACGAGAGAGCAGGTCGATAAATGTTGTGTAGCAAAACCCATTAGCAGTTGTTAGCTTTTATTTGGCCAATTTAGCGGCTAGACTATGTAAAACACAACGTGAAAAAAATGGCCAAAACTTTAAAATGTAAATATTTTGTAGCCAGACTTTGATTGACTAACAGATATGCTGGAATGAAATATCATGTTAGATATTCTAATATCTATTGCTATTGCTATAGTTGTTAGAGGAGAAACAAGAGAGAGAGAGAGAGAGATGACGCTGGTTAGTAATCATGACATGAGACTAACTATGGCCTTGTGCATGCCCTCTAGATATAAACATTTGGCCCAGGGCAAACGTTTACCAATTTTGTTGTAATTTATGCGAAAATCACGCAGCATAAATTCCACAGAAAGGCGAAATTGTTGAGAAATTATAAAAAATATTCATGTATATTTATATGTAAAAACATTCATGATATATAAATAACATAAAAGAAGAAGCACAACATTTATGAGTTGATAAAAAATTTAAACAAATATTTTAGATATGTGTGTATACAAATTGAAAAAATACAAGTATTTATATATACATAAGTACATATTCAAATATATCCATACAAATTGAAAACTATTTTGTGCTGCAACTGTGGGAAGGGCAAATTGACAGGCGGAGAGATTGAAGCGCAGTCCCAAAGCTGTAATCAGCGCTTTTCCTGATTTCCCAACAATTTTGCCCGTGCTCTAGCTTTATTGTTTGTCTGTCAAGGTGTCTGAGCCGTAGCTGAGCTGTTTCCACCAACAACCCCTCGCTGTCTCTCTCACTTTTTCGCTCTCTCTCTCTCACTGTGTTTTCACTGTAAGCCGTCAGCTGCATGGCCTGGCGCCTTTTGAACACTTCAAGCTCAATTGAATTTAGAATATGCCACACTTGAGGCAGCATCCAAGGCAGCTGCTGCGTTGCAAGTGCATTAAAACTTCCCCCTTTGCCGCGCTGCGTCTCGGGGCGTGGCTGTCGAGGCATTTAATGAGCGCGCGTGTTGCCAAAGTGTGCAGCATCTGCTGCTGAGGCTCAATTTGGGATTTAGTGTTACCTCAGTTACCTCAGTAATAATGCTGCACACGACAACAAAACTGACAAACAATCTTGGCTCTCTCTCACTCTTGTTCTATCCCTCTCTGGTGGCTCATTAAGCTAAAAAATGAACTGACCGCTGAGCGCTAGCAAAAAATCATAAAAATAAGCCACTCAGCTGCTTAAATCGGATTAATTTATGCTTTCGTCGAACCTCGAAATGAAGTCCTTTCGTAAAAGGACTCGACTCTTGCTTTTGCTTGTCTTTGTTATTTTTTTCTCTCTGCTGGCCACACACAGGGGGACGGACAGAGGGCAGATAGAGTCTCTCTCACATATTGCCACGTTTATATTTCATTATCAAGTGCAGGGTCGAATGAAAAGGCGCTCAACACACACACACACAAAGAGCCAAAGCTAACGAGAAAAGGAAAAAAATACAAAATAAAAGCGAAACCCAGGCCAAGAGTCCGCTTGCTGGTTGACTTCATCCGCACAAATAATGGTCGCCAAATAAGTAATACAAAAAAGCGTCAATTCGGTTTAGTACAAATTTACAGAGAAAACGAAGCAAATGAGAGCGCTCGCATGGGGAGTGCACGACTAGCGAATGACCTGCATTTAACCGGACTCTGGTTCTCTATAAATCGTGCACATACATTCTTATGTCATGCATATAGATAAAGTTGCATTGTGATACTCTAATACATATATACTGTTATACTGTAATATTGTTATACTATTATACTGCCATAGATAGTTAGTGTTGTTATACTGTTATATTGTTATACCTGTATACTGGTATACTATAACATCAAATACAAACGAATAGAGCTAGAATACATCAAGTCTTTGTTATCAGCCCCTCTACCTGCAACATATATGTTATCAATAGCAATATACCCTGCTGACACATTTTGCAATGGGTATATCAAATAGGAATAGCTAAAACCAAATTTCAACGAGCTTCAGCTGAAAGGATGCTGCCTCTTCGCTATAGAAATAGCTACTCCAGCAGCTACAGCTATTAGCCAACTTAAAGTCTAGACTGTTGCTGGCCCTGGCCCTGACTCTGCTGCTGGTTCTACTGCTGGTTCTGGTTCTGGGTCTGGGTCTGGGTCTGGCCATGGCGCTGG